CCTCAACGAACTTCTGGAAAGCCTTGTTGAGGGCCTTGCCGGGGAACTCGAGGTTGCGGCTGTGGGCCTTCTCAACGATCTGCGAAAAGGTAGCATCGAGCTTCTGAGGCATACGAGCGTGGAGAGCGGAAGCCTGTGCGTTCCACTCGCCGTATGGCAGCTCAGGGTCGCGGAGGACATCGACCAGCTCCTTGAGAGTGCTCTGCATGATGACCTGGTTGTCGAAACCCTGGAAGATGTTCTGCAGAATGTAGTACAGGTAGACGAATCGCTGCGGTGGCTTGGCTCCTGGCACCTGAGGGGCACCTAGCTCGGGAAGCTGACCGGTGAAGTTCTGGGCCGACTTGACCTTGGAAGGGTCATCCAGAGCTAGAACACCAAGAATGTCACCAGCCTCAAGAACGGCTCCTGGCTGCTTGATGAGGTTGACCATACCAGCCTCCTGGGCGATGAGAGGCATGTACATCTTCATGACCTCAACCTCAGCGAAAGGCTGGCCCTGGCCAACGTGCTCGCCGTTCTCGACGAGGAACCTGACGAGCTTACCGGGCGATGGTGTGCGCAGCTGGGTGGGGTCGTTCTCCTGCTCGAGAAGGCAGGTCTTGCCGTCAACGGAGAGACGGGTGGCGCCGACCTCCTCCTTCCAGTAGACGTTGTGAGACTTTCCGCTGAGCAGAATCAAGAGACCTCCATCAGCCAGTGCCCTGACGCCGACTGAGCATTTTGTGCCGTTGACGAACAAGGTGAAGCTGTCAATGGTGGATTTGGTCGCGGTGAACTTGTAGCGGTAGCCCTCGTAGATGAAGTCGACAGGGAAGACCGTCTTCAACACGTCCTTGGAAGGCACCTGACCCTTCTCCAAGCTGGTCTTGTACTCGTTGACGCACGCTTCACTTGCAACATGGGCCTTGGTAACAGCACCGCAAATGACCGCGATCATCGTGTCGGGACGCTCAGCAGTCAGCTTCTTGGAGATGAGCTCGTCGAGCCAGCCAGTGGTAATGGTGTTGTCCTCGAAAGCAGGAGTCTCAAGCAACTTGATGAGATACTCAACAGTCGTGCGGAAGTCACCACGAATGCTCAATTCCTTGAGCGCAACAACCATGTGCTTCCGCGAGGCCTGTCGGTTCTCGCCATAAGCGAAGATGTGACCGAATTGCGAGTCGGAGAAGCTGTGGATACCACCGGCGGAGCTGACGGAGAAGTAACCCCAGACGTTGGAGCTACTCCTGAAGTTGAGGTCGTGGATAGTACCACCGGAGGGCTTGAAGCCCTCGTCTGGGTCCTCAGAGGTGATACGGCAGGCCGTGCAGTGGCCCTTGGGAGTGGGGCGACGCTGGCTCTTGGCACTGCCTTCGCTGGAGAAGTCAAAGTCGATGGTAGAGCTGGCGTGGGGGTCGGCACCGTACAGGAGACGAATGTCACGGACACGGTGCAGTGGGAGACCCATGGCAATCTGGAGCTGGGCGGCTGGGAGGTTCACGCCCGTTACCATTTCCGTGGTAGGATGCTCGACCTGGAGACGGGGGTTCAGCTCGAGGAAGTAGAACTTGTCGTCCGAGTGCGAGTAGAGGTACTCGACGGTACCTGCTGAGACGTATCCGACGAGGCGTCCGAGCGAGACGGCAGCCTTCTCCATCTCCTGGAAGGTCTTTGAGCCAGCAACTGTTACCGGTGCCTCCTCAATGATCTTCTGGTGACGGCGCTGCACCGAACAGTCACGTCCGAACAGGGAGATGTTGTTGCCGTACTGGTCAGCCAGCAGCTGGACTTCCAAGTGGCGCGCGCTGCCCGCCAGCTTCATGATGAAGATGGGCGATCCGGGGATTTCAGAGGCAGCCGCCTTGTACAGCTGCTCAAAGTCCTCCTCGCGCTCGACCTTTCGGATACCCTTGCCGCCGCCACCCTCCGAGGCCTTGACCATGACGGGGAAGCCAATGGCCTTGGCCTTCTCCAGACCCTCTTCCCATGACTTTGTGCAGCCCTTGTCGTAGACGTGGTCCTCGACCGTGACGATGCCGTGCTGGTCGACCTGGACCTCGTCGACGCCGGTTCCCGACCAGGGGATACACGGCACCTTGGCGTGTTGTGCGACGATTGTGGACGAGATCTTGTCACCGAGCGAGCGCATGGCCGACCCGGGCGGGCCGATGAAGACAATCTTCTTGGGCGAGGCGGCGAGCGATTCGGGCAGCTTGGGGTTCTCCGAGGCGTGTCCCCTAGACGCAAAAAGTCAGCCATGAGCCCTCATCCGACGCGTGTTGGGCTGTATACGCACCATCCGGCCCAGACGGCGTGCACGTTCATGCGCTCGGCCACATCGACAATTAGTTCGACGTTGGCGTAGTTGTTGTTGTTGGTACCGCCGGGTACCTGCATAATCGCCGTTAGCCACGCCTCGCTCGTCGCCGCTGTCTGGGGGAGCACGTACCTCGACGTATTGGTCTGCCATGCGGATGTACTCAGCGTTGGCCTGCAGATCCTCGGGCGTCGCCATGACGGTGAACTGGATCGCCCGCTCATCGCCGAATGTCTCGTACGCCCATTTCCGCACCGAGCGGATTTCCTTGACTGCGGCGATACCGTTGTTTGCAATGAGCACCTGCGGGGAAGCCACTGGTCAGCGCGTGCGTTCTCAACACCACCACTTTCTTCTACAGAGTCTCGCTCACATTGGTAATGACCGTGTGTCCGTCGTGCGCCGCCACAAAGTCCTTGACCTTGCCCGGCGACGCTACCTTGAGGTTGTTCCCGCCGATGAAGTGCGGAGCAAGATCGAACTTGGCGGCGTAGGAGCTCGGGGCGCCATTAGCATCCCCGTTGACTCCGTTCTGTGCAGCTCCGGCCATGATGTGTGAAGGCAATCCCATGCACCGAGGAATTGGGATGTGGGGAGGAAGGAGCGAAGGCGAAGTTGGGTTGCGGTTCGGTGAGGGTCCGGTCAATTTTCCACTGGTAAGGGCAAGCTGGAGCTCGGCCTCTAGTGTCGAATGTAGATCTGATTGACCCGAAAACGACGATGCTCTGCAATCGACGTGTGCGTCTCTAACGATTCTGTCGGTGGGAGGGCCCGAGCAGACTATTAGTAGAGGACAGTCGTAGTGTCGGTGTGGAAGACCCAAAAGCAATCTTCAATGCCAGGAATTCTATGCGGCGCCGGGAGGAAGCACCAACAACGAACGCGTGGAGTTGAGCGAAAGAGGGACTAGTAGTGCGTACGAGGAGAAGTACAGCACAGCGAGGTATACAGTATGTGGGAGGGAGGTAATACAGCAGAGCAAGAGGAGGGGAAATGGTCGCAAGCGTCCGGGAGCAGCTCACGTATGTATTAAATTTTTAGAGCCATAGCGGAACACCCCAATGCACTTCCCGAAGCACTGTTGAGCTATCGCATCGCCAGCGATGCCGAAGACGGCAAGGCCCTGCACCACGTCCCCCATAACGCCCCTGTCCATCCCTCTCGAAGCCACGGTAGACGACTCGGAAGCCCTTCGGAACCCGATTATGTACACACGACGGCTGGTCTACGGGCCAATTCACTACTTAGCTACGCTGACTGACTAGCCAGCTATCTGGATCAAGTCAAGATTGCCGCATTTTTTCACGATCGATGGGTACAGCATGTTGAGAGTTTGCTCGCCATGGCGGCATCTGTTCTAGGTCTGTTGGGAGCATTTCCGCATTAGTTGCTTGTTGCGAGACCCAACCCGAGCACGAGTACCTGCATGCCCATGTGTTGAGCCCTGGCTATCTCTCACCAACAGCTGGTCAAGCCTCCCGTCTGCCGTTGATCCGCTGACTGTTCAGGGTTGAGTTGATATCTATCACCGCCACTTCAAACTTTACCCCTCTCCCAACACGTAGCTGCCCACCTAGATATCGTCAACATCTCCCATCTCACCTCTTCACCACCGCCGCCTCCCTCACACCACCATACACCCATCTCCCAAAATAACCAAACACCAGTCTCACATTTGCCAAACCACGCCAGAGTAACAGCAAGAGTAATGCTCGGGTCTCCTCCCCCGATACCTCCCACCGGACTCCGATCGCAGCCACCCAATCAGCGCCCAAAGCGGCCGCTCTCGGAACAAACATCAAGCACACGCTCAATTTAGCACACCGTAGATGACGCTGAAACAGAAAAGTACCGGCTTCCATACAGCAGTCTAGTAGTCTACGACGGCGTGAGAAGCCGGGTAGAAGTAATAAAGAAAACATGTCCCGTAGAGCATAGGTCGCAAACGTTGTGCTCAGGTACCGCCGCAGGGCAGCCGGCCAAAGCCCCGTAGTCCCGCCGCCCGCATCTCTACAACAACGACTATCAGTTTGGTAGCGACATCTGCGAGATAAAGCAAGCCAGGATGCCTACCCAGATAAAGCAAGCTAGATTCCGAAGGCGCGTTCCGAAGATCCAGGGTCTTGCGCGAGTAGCTGGTGCTGGTTCCTGCTTGGGTCAACGCGGCGGGACAGGCCGCCGTTTGACATCAGAATCGTACGATTTTTGACTACGCGACCACCAACGCCAATGCGGCTGCGCATGCATGCAACTTTACCCCAGATTTTCGTCCAGAACGAGCAGTCTACTCCGTTTGAAGTAAGGAGAGCACGTGAGATCTGTAGTAGTAGTAGTGGTAGTATTTCGAGATTAAGATGTGAAACAAACAGAAGAGCTGATGTGCACAGAAGCAACGGCGAGCCTAGCGGTGAATGGAATTCGGGGTATATTGGTTTCGAACAAAAGAAATCTGAATGTAAAAGTAATATGTAACTGCCCTCAAAGGAGCTGGGCACCTCTCGAGTTTCTTCTCAAGACGCTGCACCAAACACCCCGTCCGTATCCCATTTCCCAAACTCTAGCACATATGCATCGCAAACCCGACTCCAGAATGCATGAGGTATAGTGCCGTGAAAATCATGCACCAGAGATTGATCGATCCAGAGGTACACACACGTGGTTCTGCGGGTCCTTTAACTTCCTACCAATGCGCCGTTCCTTCCTAGTATGATTCTTCCTCCGCCTGCGTCGACATCTTTCGTGGCCGAGCGGGAGGGGCCATGTCTCCGTTGTCCATGTTGTTGCTTGCCCTGCGTCCTGCACTTTGACGCCTTGGTATACCGCTGGGTGTAGGTATACCTGTCTTCTCCAGTGTGAGTCGCCTGCCCATTGGGGTTGAAACGCCGCTTCCGTCGCTGTTGGCGTCTGTGTCCCGCCGCGACATTGACAGCGAATGCGAATGGCCGTGACCGCTCATAGAGCTCCTTGGCCTTGGCATCCGGGGCTCCGTTCCGCTGATGGACGAAGACGAATAATGTCCGAGTGGGGTTCGGGTGCTGCTCCTGCTTGCCGGCCGCTGTATTGCTGACTGCGACGACATGGATGCTCGGCTGGCAGGTCTGCTGCTGCTGGGGGGTTCACGCGACGAAGTCGACATGCCGAATGACAGCCGGCTTACACCCGACTCGTAGGCGCCAGGGACTGACGAGCCCGCTGATGCGTGGGAGCTGCGCTTCCTGCCGCTCCTCAATGTGACAGTACTTGGCACGTGGTGTCCCATGGCACTGCCGTTTCGGGGGCTGGCTCGCGGTGGGGTCGTGGTCGGCGCAGGGAGCTTGGATCGCGCTGCGTGTACCCGTTCTTCGAGCTTCTGCATCTTACCAATCAGCCCTCGAACCTGAACGAGCGAGCCTGACCTAGGCAAACTTGGCGGCGGTGCAGCACTTCCAAAGCTTGGTCTAGGCGCTCGCGATGTGGGTGCAGTTGTTCGTATAGAGGGTGTCGCCCGCCCACTGGCACTTGTACTTGGTCGCGATGCTGACATGCTGGGCCCTCGTGAGTGCCTTGGGACTCGCTGATACAGGCCGGCGCGAGGGGTTGCACCTGGGTCCAGCGGCGCATACGAGTTCTTTCGCTTGGGCATGGGCGTCGAGGGTACGTATCTAGTCGTGATGGGTGCGTCGGACAGCGGTGGCGAAGGGGGAGTCGCGTCCGTGTGTAGGCCATCTGCTTTCGAGTGTGGTGGGGTCGAAGCAGCCGTGGGCGAGGAGACGGTGGTTGCTGTGGTCGATGCCTCGGAGACCGGCGAGCGTGGCCTCAGGGCATCGCCAGAGAGATGGTTGGATACCTTACGCACGTGGTGGTTCTCAATCGTCTCCTCCGCGATGCGCAACTTCTCCTGCGTGATTTCCGCCTCTACCCGCAGGTCTGACAGCTCGTCCCTAAGGCGCTGTGTTTCTATCCGCAGTGCTTCTCGCTCCTGCTCTCCGATCTTGATCTCTTCTTCCAGCATGACGCTGCGCTCGATAGCCACGTTGTACTTGGATTCCACATCCTCGAGTGATGATGTCTGGTGGCGTGCCTGGCGCTCGAAATCGTCGCTTTGTACTTCGATGTCGCGGAGTCGCATCTGGAGGGCGCGCTGGCTCTCGCGCATCGTGGTGATCTCCTTCTGGAGGGTGTTCTGCGCATTGTTGGCCTCGGCCTTGCTCTGCTTGTACTTTGTCTATGGTGTCTTGTTAGTGACTGTCTGTTGGGCATACATCCGCCCCAACTGTGTCGGAGGCCACGCACCTTCCACTCCTCAACCTCGAACCCCAGCTTCTCTGCCTTTTCCTGCAGCTTGCGCTCCCGCTTCTCGCTCTCCTCGACGTCGCGCTCGAGCTCGGCCTCGAGTTCCTTGCTTGATGCCTGAAACTCCTGCAGCTCCATCTCCAGCGTCTCGTACTGCGACTTGTAGTAAGCCAGCTCCTCCTCGAGGCTGCTCCATCCTCCCCGGCTCGGCGAAGACTGCGCTCCGGTGGTCGTCATGATGGCGGTGGGGGTTGAGCTGCGACTGCCAACAGCGTGCGGTGATCAGGGGAATGGGCTGGGCGGGGTGCAGTGACAAGACGTCAACACACAGCTGGTCGGTCGCGGTCTATGTCGTCACCGGCGTCTACGACATAGAAAGCCGCAGCTGGTGGTGTGCGCGTGGGTTGCGGCTGCCCTCTTGGTGTCTGGGATGTTGACGATTCCGCTTTTGTCCAATGGCCGTGCTGTGAGTCGCCAGTCATGCGCCGCCGACTATCGGAAACTTCGAGTCGCTTCTTCGCGCTCGCAATGTCGCGCAAACAATAGTTGCCCTGTTCCTGTGCAGGTTAGTAGTTAGTCGCCGCTCAACTGCGGCATGCAGTCGAATGTGTCGCCAGGCGTGGTTGTTGATGATGGAGGCGCTGCGGGCGGAGCCAGGTGGTTAGCGCATTGGCCTCCAGGGCAACCGCTGCAACCAGCCACCGGCATGACACATGCGACGTACCGTGACCAGCCATCCCCACAATAGCCAGCGCAGCAGAGACAACAAAGCCCGCAAGGCTGGAAAATCCTGCTTCAAGTCGCCGCGCTGGTACTATTCTGGCGTGAACACGATTTCCATTGCAGTCACTCAGGACACAGACTCAATTTAATTGGAACGCTTCTGTCCGGTACCTAGGTACATGGACATACCAGCTACTCGAAGCATGGCAGTGGATACTGACACTAGACGTTTCAGATCGCCCAAGGTAGATGGACAGTTCACCCGGCAATTATTTGCTCATTATGCATTACGAAAGTCAGGCACGCCTTTGACGCGAACCATACCAAAAAAATACATACTCCATCCAGACATGCCTATGAACAAAGAAACACAAAATCAATCGGGTATATGTACAGTCTGAAGGCGCCGAGAAAATCATCTGCCGCAGGACTCACTCTTTGATACCCTTGTCAGGGCCGTTGATGTCCTTGATGTCGGCGTCCAGAACAGCGTCTTTGGCCTGCTGCGATGCCTCGCTTGCGGCCCTCTTGCCATGCTCAAGCGCTTCACCGGTTTGCTCAGTGGCATTGGTGGCAGCATCCTGTCCTTTGTCTAGCACGTTCTTGCCCTGGTCGTAGGCGCTGCTTGCGGCCTCGCTGACAGCATCTCTGCCTTTTTCAACAAGGTCTTGCGCCTGCTGTGAGCCCTGTGAAACGGCGTGCTTTGCTGATTCCGTTGCGTTGCCGACGACTTCGGCGCCCTTTGCATACGCATCGCTAGCCTGCTCCTTGCCTTGTTCATAAGCACTCTGAACGCTGTTCGATGCCGACTGTGCGACTTCACTTGGGCTGGGGTACTTCTTCAACGCGCCCTGCACAGTGTAGTACAGGCTGATAATGACAGCATGAATACGGTCCTTCATCAACATCGTGATACCATGGGAGAAGAAGCCTTTGAGCACTTCCGCCCCCAGACCCTGGTACAAGCCCCATATCCCTTCAGTCTGGGCGATGCGCAAGATGGTACTGAACACAGTTCGCTGCCTAGCTTGTAGTGCTCTCGACTCGATCGGTTCGTCTGACTTCTCTTGGTCGGAAGTCTCACCAATGCCGGAAGAGGGCTTCTGTGAGGACACTTGGGCGCGCGTCTTTGCGAGGGAGAACGGGTAGGTAGCGGTAGAGGCAAGGACCTTACTTATGGCGGCGAGAAGGAACGTCATGCGCGCGCCGGGATCGTCTCGATTTGCCCTGGGTACGACCAATCGCAGGAGAGCCTTGTGCAGAAGCATAGTGATGGAAGGGTTCAGGGTGAGGATCAAGCTAGCAGAGTAGCCAGACCAGAAGCCTTGTATGCCCTTCTCGCGCATAATCTCATGTGCTATGTCCTTGGTACTGGAGAGTGGAGCTATGGTGGTCGACGATTCCTGGCGCATCATCGCCGCCGTCTGCTTCCGCGTAACAATCTGCTGGATGGGCGTGGTGAAGAACTTGGAGAAGGCGCCTGCGACGACGCCAACGCCAATCTCTTCGAGCGCCGGCAAGCTGTGTCCAGTACCTCGCGCTTCAAGCCTCTTCTGTCGCGCATATGAATACGCTAGGAAGAACAAAAAGCTGTCGGCGACACCCTTAACAACCTCGGGCACTACGCCGCTGTAGAAGGCCTTTGGTCCGCCTTCCCTCTCGTATATCTTCTCGATGGCATCGAAGAAACCATTGTAATGCGGGTGCGCGTCGCCGTGATGTAGTTGCCGCTGAACCTGGAGGCGCGTAATAACGACATCGAGAGGGTATGTTAGGAGTTTCGACACAACGGTTCCTAGAGCGCCAGACGAAGCATGGCCGAGGGCAGGAAGTACAGGGCCGACCGAGCTGTGTTCTTCCTTTTCGTGCGAGATATGGTAAAGCGTGAAGGCATCCTAACGATCAATGTCAGCCAGTGTCCATCTTCACATGTCAGGGGCGCTCACGAGCTGCGAGTTGTAGATGTAGCTCATCTTGTCGGGATTATCGTTGGATGCCATCGCAGGGAAATCCGGGGAAATGACGACTTAAGAAGGATCCAAGAAATAGTACAAAAGCATCGCAAACGCGGGGAAAGCTCTCAGTCTCCGGGTCCGCATAGCGCTTCTGGTGTCACCAGCTGCAGACGTCATGGAGGCGTTCGGGCGAGGCCAGAGCTCCAGCGGATAGCCGAGCTTCCACTGGACAAACTTCGCTGGTGCAACTGCCTTCCACTAACACCACCACTCGCGCCAGCACTAGCCCTCGCCCAATGCAGTCGCCTCAAGCCTCGCAGAAGACCGGATGAGTCTCTAGTGTTGAGATGTCATCTGTCTGCCTCATTGAGCAACGCGCGCGCCGCGACGGTACCGACAGCGCGTCAGACGAAACGACACCACCATGCCGCATCCATCGTGGGAGGGCGCGACGGCGCGTGAATACACATTTATAGAGACAGGAGCACTCAAAGGGACTGCGAGAACTCTTCGGGGTATTGATCGCAGTTCAAAGTATCCTCCGAGAGCAAGCACGGCCGGTCGTGTTTGACGTGGAAAGACTCGCTTGAGAGAAAGACATCCATCGTTTCATACACTGGCTACATGCAATGCATCATCACCGCAACGTAACCCGATCCAGTTCTTCCATTTCATTTTTCGAGTCAAGATAATGATATGCGGGAGGACAGTCATCAGTACTATGACTGTCAATTGCGGCACGGCACACAGTCAACAAGACGTAACTGTCCTACAAGTACCGCCACCGTCAGTACCAGATGTCTTCGATGGCCTCATTACTGCAGAAGACCTGGCACAGAGTACCCTTGGACAGGACCTATCTTTGCTGCGGAGCTTCTAACAACACTAGAAGACCCCAGCATCAGCTATCAAATCTTTGCGTGCCTCGGATTTCACACAGAAATGAGGTCTTCACGAGGGATCACAGTGATAGCTGCGGTTTACTCTGCAATCACATCGAGTCAAACATCTATTACTGTTGACTATCGATAGTGTCAAGAGGAGCATTCATTACTCAACGCAAGAGTCAACAGGTGGGTATAAAACGGACGAGTATGGTGAGAACTTGTTTTCCTATCCTTCATACACCCTCATTACGTCTCCAGAACCGCTGCGAGAAAGACTCCATTTGAATAATCAGTTATATCTTCATCATGAGACTAAGCGTTCGCCCAGGAATTGCTCGGGTTGGGAACGTGGAACTACACGAAATGTCCCATGTCTCGGAACTGGACGCGGGCGGCCAGGACACCTCAGGAGATGGCACAGATAACACTTCTGTCGACCAAGAGAACATCGCTATATCACCAGAGGCAATCAAAAGCATCGAACGCAACCTTGCCATCGTTATTCCCTGCATGGACGAAAACGTCACAATCCTTGAAGGCCTTCTTCATGGGATTCCACATGACTGTTTTGTCATCTTCATCTCGAACAGCAACCAGGCAAACTATGAGACAGAGTGCGAGTCGTTGATCAAATTCGGGAAGGTTGCGTGTCGACCTGTCTTGATACATCATCAAGGTGATCCAACCTTCGCTCGCACCTTCCAGGAAGCTGGTATGTCTGAGCTATTGCAACCCCAAGTAACAGGTATACCTGAGGGAAAAGAACACATTCCGCGCATGAACAACGGAAAAGGAGAGGCTATGATGCTCGGTGTGATCATCGCAAAGCTTGCTGCACGCAAGTTTGTTGGCTTCATTGACGCCGACAACCGGATCCCCGGATCTGTCCTCGAGTACTGCAAAGTATACGCCGCGGGATTACATTATGCACTACACCACAACGAACATACCGAACAGAATGAGCATGCGATGGTGCGTATCAAATGGAAGTCGAAGCCAAAGGTCAAGAACAGTGAGCTCGTATTTGAAGAATTCGGACGCTCCTCGCGTGTCGTGAACGAATGGATGAACCGCCTCCTGAGAGTCCTCGGGGATGACGCTACCCCAGAATCTATGATCACGACCGGTAACGCCGGCGAACACGCTATGGATGTTGACCTTGCCTTCAAGCTCCGATTCGCTACAGGTTATGCTGTTGAGCCGTTCCAGTTGATCGACTTGTGGGAACGATTTAGTGTTTCAAACGATCCATCTTCAAAACCCGTACGGATCTTGCAGATCGAAACGTGCAACCCACATATTCACAGCGCTGACCGACTTACTGGACATATCCCACGCATGCAAGTTCAAGGCCTGAGCACGATATACCACTCAAGGTGTACACCCTCGCGTCTCAAAGATGAACTTCGCAATTATATGAGAGAAAAATTGGCCACGGTCGTGGACAGTACCGGAGAACCTACGCCACCTCGCATATACAGTCCACTCGGTTCTTTCGATTGGAAGATATTCGCAAAGGTTGGGTTAGGAAAGCAGGATCTCCATAAAGAATAGACCGGACACTTAAGTAGCAGCGCAGGTGTATATAAGGCAGATACAGCTAATGTCATTTGTTACATTTCTCTGTAGTGTGGTGCATGATAGCGAATAGTACCTTCATCGTGGTCAGTCCATCCAACCTGCATCCTATCAGCTGAGTAAGTGAAACGCGCGACACGAAACCCCAAACTTCCGGAACTTCCAGACTACCGACTGACAAGCGGGATGTTTCTGCATCTTCACTAGCAGCTTCATCCTACATGGCTGTCACTGCCGCCAAGACCGACATCCTCGACATGAAACCTGACACATCCCTCTCATAGATTGTCAGCTGTCGGACGATCGGTTTCGTCAACGGGACGCGCAAACCAAACACCGTCTTCTTCCAGGATAACAGGCTTGTTTCTACGTTCACTCAATTCACGACTGCACGTGTGTTCGGGCCTACTCAGCCAGCGCATTGATTGCGCCCTACCCGCTGTTCACCCGACGATAGGCATGATGCGCTTGGAGGTTTGGAGTTCAGGTGGTGTGGGAAGTCGTCGTATACCATCGACACACATGTTCAGTAAACCAACTGTACGCATTTCTAACACGATGGCTATAAAGGCGTCGGCAACTCGCCCACTGCAAAATCCTCATCCTCATCAGGACCAACGATCTCTTCCTTGCTTCCAACACCCTCCCTTTTCCACATTCTCTTCTCCAGCTCAGTGCCGGTCACCCTTCTTTTCTTGACTGTGTCATCTTTGCTGTGCAATACTTTCATTCCCCTACTTTCACTTCAGATTACCCGAAAAACCAACAAAACATGCGTTTCTCTCTGACTACCATCGCGGCTGCGGCCCTGATCGTCTCTGTCTCTGCGGCACCTGCTCCTGCCCCAGCTAAACCGACGGAACTTTCGGCTCGAGGCCCTGCTCCTACAAAGGCTCATGGCCATCGTGGTAGCCATCGCGGCAAACACGGCGGCGGTCAACGCAACGGCACCGAGTCCAGCGGTCCTGGCTCTGATTCCATCGGCTCTGGAATGGGAATGGGCGGTGGCCCAGGACGTGGCCAACGCAATGGCGGTGACCCCGGTTACTTCCCTGGCGGTGGTGCTGCTCCCACGGGCGGCTTCCCAGGCTTTGGCGGTCAGCCATCCGACCCTCAGATGACGGGTGCTCCTACATTTACCCCCGGCAACGACTACGAACGGAGATCTGTTGAGTCTGAACCTACTGTCACGAAGCGTTCACCCTTCGGTCTGGTTTGGAGAGCGAGCGATGACAAATCTAAAGACACCTCGGATTCCAAGGACTCTGCAGGTGATTCATCTGACTACAAGGACGGTGCTTCCGACGCCAAGGATGACAAGAAAGACAAGTCGAAGGGCTCTTCTGGCTCTTCTGACTCTTCTGACAGCAGTGAGGGTTCTTCCAGTGGCAAGGACAAGTCCTCCAGTGACGCTAGCGACAGCACTGGAGACAGCACTGAGGATGCGGCTGGCGACTCTGGTTCAAGCTCTGGCGGAGATGGCGGTTCCAGTTCGGGATCAGATTCGGACTCCAGCAGCGGAAGCGGCAAGGGCAGCGGATCATCCTCAGGAAGCGACTCATCTTCGGGCAGCGACTCTTCCTCAGACAGCGACTCATCTTCAGGCAGCGACTCATCCTCAGGAAGTGGCTCGTCTTCAGGTGGTGGTTCATCCTCAGGCAGTGGCTCTTCTTCAGGTGATGGATCTTCCTCCGGTCCGGGAACTCAGACTGGATCAGGCAACTCCACTATGCCTAGCTCAGGCGGTAGTGCAGCAAGCGGTACCATGCCCGCAGCAGCTGGCGAGTCTACTCTCTCCAAGACAATGATGGTAACCGGCGAATTTGATGGTGGCATGAAGCGTTTCGGTCGTGGAGTGTCTTGCACCGGTCAATCAGAAGGAGGAGACAGCGATGCTGTATTCTCTATTGCTAACGGCGGTACCCTCCGCAACGTCATCATCGGAGCCGACCAGATCGAGGGAGTACACTGCCAAGGAGCCTGCACCATCGAGAATGTCTGGTGGGAAGATGTATGTGAAGACGCTCTCACCTTCAAGAAGGACGGCGACGGCACAGTCACCGGTGGCGGAGCCATGGGCGCATCCGACAAAGTCATCCAACACAACGGCGTGGGCACCATTTCAATCTCAGGCTTCACGGTCTCAACCTTCGGCAAGCTCTACCGATCATGTGGAAACTGCAAGACCATGGGCGAGCGCCACGTCAAGATTGACAAAGTCAAGGCTACAGGCGGAACAGCGACTTTCGTTGGTATTAACTCCAACTACGGCGATACTGCTACCATTACCAACTCTTGCGTCACGGGCACAAAGGCTATTTGCGAGGAGTTCGAGGGTAACGACACGGGTGCTGAGCCTAAGCAGATCAGCGAGGGCCCCAGCTCAGCTTGTATCTACACGCCCGCTGACATCGCCGCTTGCTGATTGGATTTGATGGGATAAGCGGAATGTCGGATTTGGGACTTTGGAAGAGCACATGGGTGCTTGGAATGCCCTGGGATTGGCGATGGGACTTACACTCATTTCACTACCATTCTTTCTGTACATACTCTCTTTTTACACAAATCAAGTACAGATGTCTTCCACTATCATTGCTTATACTACCGCTGACTCTCAGTTAAGTGTGCAGCCTAATCGATCTTCACAATATAACACCGATGATTCGCTCACTTACGGTGATACTTTGGTCGCGATCATCGCTACCATAGGCCTTCTACCACAACGCCGATCTCGCTCTCTTGACTCACTCACTCTCGCCTTTTCACCACTTTTCGCGAACGCAGATTGTCTGTGCGCGTACCCGCCCTGTGAGTATAAAAGTGCGTGGTCCCCCACACCCGGCGACAAACAGTTTCAACAACAGCAATCGCAACACTTGCAACTCCCTCAACTACAGGACCATCGACTCTACTAACCAACAGAATGCCTTCTTTTCTTACTCCGCCGCGCTTCGGCTTTGGCGCTGCCACTACTACTACTAACACAAACACTTCCCCGACCTGGGGCTTCGGCCCTGCCCTACAGGGTGGTATGGGTCCTCCTGCGCCTGCCTCCTCAAACAAATCCCCGAAATCACCCATGTTTGGTTCAAGTTCTTTGTCGCTGGGCGCGAAACTCCCCAGTCCCACCGCCGCTCCAGCAGTCCAAAAACAGCCCGCCGTATCCCCACCCACCGGCCTCATCTTCGCCTCTGTCGCCACCGACGCGACAGGCAAGCAGACGACCAAGAAGATCCAAGACCCCACCACCATTCTAGACGGCAACATTCAGGTAGTTCGTATCTACCTCTCTCTCGAAGACCTCCCTCCCTCACCCCTCCACGACATACTCCTCAACTTCCAAAACCAAGGCGCCAACCCACTCCAAGAAATCCACCTCTGTATCCGCTCGCTCCTCCGCCCCTGTCTCCAGGACATCTACGAGGATCGTGAACTAGAAGAGGCCATGCTGTTCATGGTCGATCAGTGGTATGCCTTTGGCACCGCGGTCAAGTTCTTCTTCCACCGCCCTGGTGTAGACACTGCTCGCGACCGTTTCCAGAACTTTGTCGAGAAGGACTTAGTTCGTGCGGTCCAGGGTTTGGCAGAGGGCGATGTGGAATTATCGGAGATACTGGGTGAGGAGAGTTGTGTGTTGGGGATGGGGGCGGTGGCCGGTGGGGCGGTTCGTAAGCCTGTCGTGGCTGAGTATGGTGTTTGCGATGAGATGATCTGACAAGTTGGCGATTCGATTTCTTTGATGGTTGTAATATTAGCGCGGAGTTGCGGTCGAGGTTTTGTATCTTCATGATTTGTACTAACATTTAGTTTTAAAAGTCATGATTGCGGCGGCGTACTTTGGAGTAAGTAACACAAGTATGGACAGTACTTGTTTAGATCGATGGAAATGAGAACATCATGGTCTTTGCATATCTTCGGACTCTTTTCTGCGAAAGTGATGACATAATGCTGGTGTAGGTTCCCGAGTGTTTCGTCAATACGCCGAGAAAGCCCAAGCTGTGGCGCATGCGTCCCGAAGCTTCTCCGAACACGCGTCGCGGCGGTTGCTGGCTTCTTGCCCGAGCTCACCCTCCCACCACACCGTCAATATGGAACCAGCCAGCCGAGCGCTGATACAAGCTCTATCTGCATGCGTGCCTGATACTTACGCGCCTGGTACATACGCCGCTTGATCCGCATACAGCAATGTCCCCGTCTCCACGCTCGTCCATCGCGACGAACAACGCTCGCGGAAAAAGCAGGCTCAGCGCCAGTACTATCTTACTTGAGAAGCCCACAAAGGCTGCAGGCTTAGCCACGCGTCTCATAGTCTCATCATAAACTTCGTCTCACTATTCACATCACAGCCTCCTTGCAAGTTCCTCGCAATGGCGCTTGATCGAGGCTGGTTAAACATCGCAAAGCGGCACTACCTTCGCTTACTACACACTTCGGAGGGTAGCCGCGCGATGCCCTCACATCGTCAAATAGACACAAATCCCTTGTTCTACTACACGAGCGGACGATGGCTATGGAATGAGCGTGAGCAACTGGAAGCTCGATACCGACGTTTTGACGTGCCCAGTCTTCAGCAAGCGGCTTGTCAAGCCATCGGTGCAAACAAGTGCATGTCTTTCAAGAAGATCGGCGAAGGCAACTACAACAAGGCATATCGCCTTGAGATGGAAGACGGCCAAAAGATCATCGCAAAAGTCCCACACCCTAATGCTGGCCCACAAGTCCATACCACGGCATCGGAAGTGGCAACTATGGAGTTTGCCCGGACTGTTTTGAACTTACCCGTCCCACGAGTTCTCGCTTGGAGTGCTACCGACCAAAATCCTGTCCGAGCAGAATATATCATGATGGAAGAAGCGAGTGGCTCCCAGCTGCATGAGGTTTGGCAGGATCTCCCACTGCGGAGGAAGTGTGACATTATTCGTGAGTTTGTAGACGTCGAAAGGAAACTACTCTCAGTCTCCTTTGAAAAGTGAGAT